CTCTCTCTCTCTCTCTCTCTCTCTCTCTCTCTCTCTCTCTCTCTCTCTCTCTCTCTCTCTCTCTCTCTCTCTCTCTCTCTCTCTCTCTCTCTCTCTCTCTCTCTCTCTCTCTCTCTCTCTCTCTCTCTCTTCTCTCTCTCTCTGGCGCGCGGTTGTGCGTAATGTATGTAAGTATATATGTCAGTGTACTTTTGTGTGTCTGTCTTGGTCTCTCCTATTATTGCTGCATTAGACTGTAACAGAATAGGGCGTTGAAAATAGTTTAATTAGATTTACGTAATTATTGGCTTGCAACGTTTCCAAGATAATAAGAGATTAATGTCTACAAAATAAGCTTAGGTGATGTAACAAGTGGGAAAGTTTGCAAAATTGTTCTCTGGTTGATTGGCGATTAGTTTAATGAGGAAAGGATATTGAATAATGGTTGTGAAGAGACTTTGGCGATGATGCTGTTGGTGAAGATCTTTTTGTTGGCTTGATGTTGTTCGTCGATTCTTTTATTGCATGTTGTTGTTGCTGCCGATGCAGTTGTTTTGATTGCATTACAGGCATTACTTTTATTTTCAGTGTTGCTGATGGCGTGGCTTCTGTTGCATTTTTTGTTGTCATGGTTTTGTTGTCGTCGTTGCAGGCGTTGTTGAAGATGCTCGCCACAAGGACACGGAATCAGGAGGCACGGCCGTGGGTGTCTTGAGATCCTTCCCGTGCTGTTCCGGGCGGCGGGAAATGGGTTAATGAGTGGCCCGCGCACCAATGGGGTCGCATCTCAGGGGTGATGGCGGCTTTGAGGGTGATGGTGGTGTTGCCTTTGATGGTGAGGAGGGTGTTGACGGTGATGCTGTAGGAGGCGAGTGGGGGTGAGGATGTCGGCTCATGATAAGCAAGGTAGAGTTGGTGTAGCTTGACCTGTGGTGATGATGGTGCTGACTGGGTGACGATGCTTACGTTGGTAGTCAGGAAAGTAATGATGACGCGGCTGTTAACTGTGAAGGGTATGGTGAAATGTCAGTGAGTGATGGAGACTATTGTTCTAGATATAGTGCGGCTTCTGAAGAGCTCTGTCGACCATAGACTCCTCATCAACTCCTCGAGTACTTTCCGCATGTGCTCTTTGTAAATCGAATGGTGTCAGAACGGCGATAACCTCGGAGGAAGTCGTCCGTAAGCAGATTAACCCAATCGATCATATTGACCGCATCATGGCAGTTTACCGAAGCAGTATAGGCGCTTTGATCTAGTTTCATCGAAGAGAAGAAAGGCGAGGTGAAGGAGGATAAGAGAGGAATGAGCAAAATAAAAATGCCGAAGAGGGAGAAGGAGTTTTAGCCACGGGCCTCTGAATAGGATGTCTTCGCGTTTGTCTGTCTCTCGCTGTCTTTAGATTTATCCCCAGGTTATTATCTCGTCCTTTTTAGCTGTTTTGCCGCCGTCCTCTAGTTTTTACCATATACATTTTCTTTCCTGTATTCATTATAACGCTCTCGTGGCATGGGTATATTCTTACTTTGGATAGAACTATTCTTGCATTAGGTCGTCTGCGCCAAAGGAATTTCGTCCTTGCGCCGATTCCGCGGGGAGAAAAAATTCCTCGCAAAAAGCGACTTGCCTTTCGGGCACAGCAGCTGGGTCCTCGGCCGCGGTATAACGCTGTCGTTTGCTCTTTAGGAGAAGGGGAGAGGGGAATAGAAAGGAGGAAAGGGAGCGGGAAAAGAATAGGGTTAAGAAGAAGGAAGACAAAAAAAAAGGAAGAAAAGAAGTAAAAGATTATAAAGGAAAAGGAGTAGTAGGATAGGATGGAGGTGAAGGGGAAGAAAAAAATAAAGTGAAAGGATCACGAAGGGTCTTAGCTTGGGCGGAAGTCGTGTCCGTCGTCCCGGCTGGAGATAAGCGGCGGCGCCCTGGCCTTGCGAGACCGGCGAGGGCCTTCGCCGTCGGCTGGCCTTCGGCTGCGAAGAATCCCCGCACGGAAAGGCTGACAACTTTGTTCCGTTTCGCGTTTAGGCCCTGCCGCCTCTGCTCGGGTGCTCGGAGCTTTTCGTCCTCCTGAGTTCGACGGCGCGGCGCAGGGACGCCGTCCAGATTAACGAAGTAATTGCGTAATTGGCGAACTTTCAGCGGCTGGAAACTCGTTCCGGTGGCATTTGCAAACATACTTTGGGAAAGGGAAAAAGTTATCCCCTTCTCGTTGCGACTCGGGCCATGGCCCCTCCGAACACACCCGTTGGCACGCGTCCTCACAGTCCTTCGGACGAGTGCCGCGGCTCGAGGGGGAGATCGGAGCCGCGGGCGAGCACGCGGGCGAGCGGAGAGGCCGAGAGGGAAGGAGGGCGTTCTCGGAGGGCGGGGGCAGGTGGGGCGCCCGATTAGCGAGATGGAGTGCGACCGCGGCGGCGACGGCGGCGGGATCGCTCTGCCGCGGAAAGCACGGCGAGATCGATACGCCGCTACGCCGTCTTAAAGCCGGGACTGATTATCTTTTCTCGTCCAATAGGGCTGCCGGTGGGCGGGTGGGGGGGAGGGAGGGAGGGAGGAGGAGGAGGAAGAAGAAGAAGAGGGGAGGAAAAAGAGGCTGGGACGCGCCCCGAGCCGATGCGGGCTTACCCTCCCGATGGGGCGGTTATCCTCCCCTGTGGCTTCCCCCTCTTTACCTTTGAGTACTCTGCTTTCTTTTCTCGGCTGTCGTTTCACTTTTCCTTCCCGATTTTTCCTCTTAATGTTTTCCTATACTTTGGTTTTCCTCTTTCCACTTCTCTCTTTCTCTTTTTATTTCACTTTTGTTTTCCCTTCGTTTTCATAATTTCGCTTTTCTTCTATTCCATTCCCTTATTTGTCATTTTTTTCTTGTTTGCTCCTTTTCTTTTCTTGATCCTTACCACTTGTTCCCCGCCTCTCTCTCTCTCCCATTTCCATTTCCCTCACTCCATCTCTCCCCTTTCCTAATTTTAACTCCAATCCTCTTTCCTTTTTTCATACATAAAAAAAGATAGAATAGACAAACAAACAAATGATGATTGATTAACACATGGCAGAAAGGACCTAAGGGGAACTGGTTGATAATACAACTTTTCCGCTTCAAATTCACCAAAGGCCATTATCCGCAACACAGAAAGGTAGGTTTATGGACCAAATACATAGATTGTTGTTGAAAAAATGTATGGACCACCACAAATACAGTAGATTGT